CGGTCACCGCAGTCATGTCCACGGACCTCGTAACCGCTCGCCACGGCGTTGAGCTTAAGGAGGCCAACGACATCCTGAACAAGTCCAAGAAGGGAAAGCTTCCCATCGTGGATGAGAGCTTCAACCTGATTGCGCTCCTGTCTCGCTCCGACCTGATGAAGAACCTCAACTTCCCGCTTGCGTCCAAGCTGCCACACTCCAAGCAGCTGATCGCCGCGGCTGCCATCGGCACCCGGCCAGAGGACAAGATCCGTCTGCAGAAGCTCGTCGATGCCGGTCTCGACATCGTCATCCTCGACAGCAGTCAGGGAAACAGCATGTACCAGATCGAGATGATTAAGTACATCAAGGAGAAGTACTCTCAGCTCGACGTGATTGGCGGAAACGTCGTCACTCGCGAGCAGGCTGCTGGTCTCATCGCCGCTGGTGTTGACGGTCTCCGTATCGGCATGGGTAGCGGAAGTGCTTGCATTACACAAGAAGTCATGGCTGTCGGAAGGCCACAGGCCACTTCGGTGTACAATGTCACCTCTTTCGCATCGCGCTTCGGCGTGCCTTGCATCGCAGATGGCGGTATCCAGAACGTAGGACACATCGTCAAGGGTCTCGCCATGGGTGCATCAGCCGTTATGATGGGAGGTCTCCTCGCCGGTACCACTGAGTCTCCTGGTGAGTACTTTGTCAGCCGCGATGGTCAGCTCGTCAAGGCCTACCGTGGTATGGGCAGTATCGCCGCCATGGAGGACAAGAAGGCCGGTGCTGGCGCTGCCGACTCCAAGGCCAGCAACGCTGGTACCGCGCGCTACTTCTCTGAGGGTGACCGTGTTCTGGTTGCCCAAGGTGTGTCTGGATCCGTCCAGGACCGTGGCTCGATCACCAAGTTTGTGCCCTACCTCATGGCTGGTGTTCAGCACTCGCTACAGGATATTGGCATCAAGAGCCTTACCGAGCTTCACGAGGGTGTTGCCAACGGCACCGTCAGGTTCGAGTTGCGCACTGCCAGTGCACAGGCTGAGGGTAACGTGCACGGTCTGCACAGCTTCGACAAGAAGCTCTACTCATAGACGATCGAAGATGATATACGGAATGCATTGGGAGGGCGTTAGTGGGTGGTTGGCTGGATTGCTAGGTTCCCTCATTAGACATGCGATACGAAGACGATTTATGTTCTTATTTTGGAGCAATGGATAGGCCAAAAGCAATGATACCACGAACTATGTTCATTTACGATCAAAATCAAGAAATGTCTTCTGTTGAGTGACGCGAAGCGCTGCCGGAGTTCTGACGGTGTGTCGACTCTTGGGCACCCTGTCACTGCTCGAGCTACTTCCTAACCTCGGCACCTCCCCGCGCATCAACACCAACCACATGCCAGCCATCATGACGCGCCGACCGCCATTGTCGGCTCCTTTTGTCGCCGGATATGCCAAAGCTGAGTTCCACTGCTCTCCTCCTGGCTAAAGGTCGATCAACTGCGTTACGCTCTTATTGCTCTCCACGCCCCGTCGCCGCAAGCTCATCGCACTCCATATTACAGGCGAAGCTCGGTGCGCGATCGTCAGCGTCACTACCAACTGCTCCCTATCTGAAGTCTGCTCAACTCTCCAAGACCTGCTTCCAAAAGCGCAAAATGTCTTCGCCTGCAGACCACAAGCCGTCGAAGCAGGCGTCAAAGGCACCACAGGTCCCACGGCCTAGCTCGAGGTATGCGATTATCACAATGTCTACCAATATCGAGATGCTAACACATATAGCGTCTTGCTCATATCCCCTACGAATCAGGTCCTGCTCCTCCACCGCGTATCGAAAGCCTCTAGTTTCGCGTCCGCCCACGTCTTTCCCGGTGGCGCCCTCTCCAAAACCCATGACGGCGAGATCCCCGACGAAGACCACCCGGGAAGACATCAAGATGGGCCCGCGTATCGTATGGCAGCCGTACGGGAGACTTTCGAGGAATGCGGCATCTTACTCGCAAAGAGCAAAAAGACCGGGAAGCTGTTCACCGAGATAAGCGACGAAGAGCGAGAACAAGGCCGAAGAGATGTACACGGTGGGAAGGTCAAGTTTGGAGACTTGTTGGAGAAATGGGGTGCACTTCCTGATACCGAAGCTCTGATTCCGTTTACCCGCTGGGTAACGCCTCCCAACGTGCCCAAACGCTTTACTACGCAGATGTACATCTACTTCCTCCCTCTTGGCTCCGTATCTCCGACGAAGCACGCCGCGCCCAAGGGTACACCACCGTCTTCGGGACTGGAAGAGGAGGACGAGATTGTCATACCCAAACCTACACACGATGGCGGTATTGAGCACACCGCTGCCCGCTTCCTGCCACCCAACAAATGGATCGACCTGGCGCGGCAAAACAGGATTATCCTATTCCCACCACAGTTCTTGCTTACCTTGCTGCTGGCTCCGTACTTGGCTTCAAGTGTCACGTCGCCTTCTTCGCCCACACCGAGTCTGGCGGAGCTACAACTCGAGCGCGAGAAGTGTCTTGACTTCCTACAAAAGCCGCGCATGTACGACGGGAAGCCTGAAGTGTCTTTTGCTGAAGCTTGCATATCTCCACTTGCTCTCGGCAAAGGAGAATATGGGCAGGCTGGGCAGGATGGTGTTGGCGGCGTAGATAAGAACACCGCTGTTTTGGTGCTTGATCGGCCTGGGAAAGAGGTCGAAAGCCAGGGACAGGGAAGAGCGGGACTCAGGGAATGGGTTGTTACAACGAAGTTCAAGAAGGAAGGGCCACGGGATGTGGATGTTCGGAGGAGGGAGGAGGTGTTGGGGAACAAGATACAGGGGAAGCTATAGAGTTGTTGGCTACAAAACGGATAGCTTGCTCGATCCTAGGTTTCGGGTCGATTCCCGGGCGTTGAGCGAGCTTAAGATTTCATCTGTGTCTTCCTCACTACTTACCTGCGCAGTTTGTTCCATGCCAGGGTATAGTACAATACGTTACGTGCGTAGAGTAGATGCAAGACGGGTTGCCAGTCTGTGATTAATGATATCGGAGGAACCCCAGGTGCCCAGCTTCCGATCATCCCATCCGGCCAATCTCGGCTATGCACCAAAAGCGAATACCGAAAAGTCGCATCATCGACGTCGCCAACAACCTCCAGGGCTAGATCTACTCCACCCAGCACACTAAACCCCACATTCGTCATTATTAATACCAGCTCCACATATTCGCGTTCCTGATGTCGGACGACGGACGGTGGAATGTTCAGGATCATGTTGTTTGGATATAAAGATGCTTGGAAGCCCCGCCTCGTTTTGGGGGGGCATCTTTACCCACATAACTTAACGGCACATTGTATCCTTTATCTATCTTAATTCATCTACGCATTTTGAAAAAGGTCTTGTAAAAGAAAGAACTGTCAGGATGAAGGAAGCACAAGTAGCAAAAGACCTTTCGGTCACCATCAAGGATGTCGCCGTCCCCGAGCCACAAGCCAACCAAGTCGTCATCAAGGTCGTCTACTCTGGTAGTAACCCCAAAGACTGGTACGTCTACTTCCCGAATCCCCCCGTGCTACCTGCACGATCACAATATCCACGTGACGTTGTCTCCCATTCCAATATTTCTCCTTTCAGTCCATCACGCACTGACGTATGTTGCAGGAAAATCCCCGCCTACGACATGAAGCCTAACTTCAACACCGGCGACGACATCGCCGGCTACGTCCACAGCGTCGGCGCCAACGTCTACGAGTTCAAGCCCGGAGATCGCGTCGCTTCCTTCCACGAGATGATGACACCGGGTGGTTCCTTCGCCGAGTACGCAGTAGGCTGGGCCCACACCACCTTCCACATCCCAACTTCCGTGTCCTTTGAGGAAGCAGCGACCCTACCCCTTGCTGCCATGACCGCAGCCATTGGACTGCACCAACGCATGGGTCTGCCCGACCCGTGGACTCCCGCACAGGAACCTACGCCCTTGGTTGTGTATGGCGGTGCGAGTGCAGTCGGAGCATACGCGATTAAACTAGCATCGCGCGCAAACATCCACCCCATCATCGCTGTAGCAGGAAGGGGAGAGAAGTTCGTCGAGGGACTCATCGACCGCTCAAAGGGCGACACGATTGTCGATTACCGAAAGGGTGATGACGCGGTCGTCAAGGGCATCAAAGATGCGCTCAAGGGACAGAAACTGCAGTACGCGTATGACGCTGTATCGGAACACAACTCCTACACAAACATTGTGCAGGTGCTAGAGCCCACGGGCAAGCTCACGCTTGTTCTGCCGGGTAAGACGTATGAAGGTATTCCCGAGACTGTGCAGCAGACTCAGACGATGGTGGGCTCGGCGCACAAGGAGGATGCGGATTACGCGTTCATCATGTTCCGGTATATGGCGAGGGGATTGGCTGAGGGTTGGTTCAAGCCGCATCCGCATGAGGTTATTCCTGGTGGTCTGGAGGGAGTCGAGACGGGTATGAAGAATTTGAGGGATGGCAAGGCGAGTGGAGTCAAGTATGTGTTTAAAATTGGAGATGAGAAGTTGTAAAGATCAAGTTGTGGTAGCGATGCAATGAGACCTAGGAGATGGTGGATGTCATCATCCATCCGACACAGTTGAGCATAAGAGATAACCGTGAAACGTTGAGATGATGCTGGACGTACCGCCTACATGATCGCCGGGAAGTCTCATTCTACGTGCACTACGTATGCCGGGAGTATCTTAACTAGGACTACAGTTACAAAACAAAGAGTATAATAGGCTTTAAAGCATACAGGCTTATCATCCTTGTTACATAGTAAGCACGTATAGAGAGCAACAGACTACATAGACTTGTGAGCTAAAACTCTATTAGGTACAAAAGTTGTTGTTGCTGCCACGCCTACTAATGTTCCACCTTATTAGTACCTTCGACGAGGATGTATCAGACAACGTCAATCAAGGTCATCTCGACAACTGGGGTTGAATCGCTTCCAGACCATAGCTCTTTCTGCACGGCGCTCCAATCTTGCCTCATGATGTTCAACATCGAGCTCTTCACCTAGAGCGTTGCGATCTGGGCCTGGTTCAGATCTAACTGAAACTTTGCTCGGATGATGTCGCGGACTTCTGCGCGGGTTGCTGTCGGCCTGACTGTTCTCGGGAGTTCACTTGGGATGTTGTCGACCAGCCCGGTTTCTGTTAACCATTCCGTGAGCTCTCGTTGTTTAGGTAAAGGGGAAGTCATCTTCCAAGATACAAGCACTTCCGGGTTCGGTTTGGGCGGCTCGGATGTATTTGTTGCTTGGTCTGGGGCTTTGGCGGTCTTCTTTGTGCCGTCTCGCTCCCGCATCCAATGCGGGACGTGAGCTGTACTAAAGCGGACCTCCTCGTCCCACTTGGCATTTTCGAACCTTTTGCTCCATACTTTGGGGCTCAATGACCACGAAAGACACAAGATCACGTTGAACGCGCGGCTGTATGGCTCTAGGTCGCTTTCTCCGTACTTGATGTAGGGGCCGAAGCTCTTCACGCTCACGTCCGAACGGTCAAAAGCCGATGCTTGTCTTCCTGTCAGGGACTCGAAAGCGCTGACAGCCTTCTTCTCCTGCTCTTGGTCGAATGGCCATTGCCCGGAAGCAGCCCTCTCAACCTGTCTGTAGAGCTGTGCGCATGCGAGGGCGGTTCGTTGAACGGCGTGGATATTGTCGCTCTGCTTTGGGTATACGTCGATGGGGCTTGCCTCCGACTTCATTCTATCGTCCTGGTCACGGATATACTCGAGTACGTCCCTCTGGCGCACTTGGATTCTTCCGCTGTCGGTGTAAGAATTGGTATAGGCATTCAGCACTAGGCTGGACAGGATGTACTTGCGGAACCCGTCCCGGCGGCCGAACATGGCGTAGGAGCCGACCTGGCCTTCGCCTTTGTGTAATTGCACGAAGCTTTTCGGATCCGTTCCGGGAGCGAGAATATCGTCATTGCCGTCGTTTTTGCGTTTCCGAGCAATCTTGGGCTTCTTCTTGGCGGGCTGACTAGAAGTTGGATCCTTTGGCGTGTCGGCTTTCTTCTTGGGGGCGGCGGCGGGACGGCTCGGGGCCTTTGGGGTTTTTGGCTTCGGTGGCATCTTTGCTGTGTTGGTGTCAATGGACTAAGTGATAACACCGTGGCTTGCTTACCTGTGATGGTGCGGGCGCTGCGAGCTACGTAAGGGCGTTGGATAGCGCGGTCGATGCTCAACTTGGTGATGCCAGCGGACCCAGCGCTAGGGTCGGTGAAGAAGAGTGCGTCAGGTTCTGCAGAACAAACGGCACGTCACCTAGATTTTACTTGCGCCCGAGGAAAGCAAATCAGAGTGACAGTAAATAGAAAGTAGCAGGGCTGAGGATTTCGGTGTAGGTGGTGGAGTCTGGCTCAGTTGCTGTGGTCGATGTCTTGCTCTATCACCTGGTGAGTGGGCGAGTAGTTCTAGTCACATTGCGAGGTTGTACCGACATGTTGACATTGCTCATTGAAAGTAGACACTCATCAGGCACAGCTGAACAAAAAAGACCAAAAAAGATGATCGTGAAACGTTGAAATGATGCTAGTAACAGGAAAACTACGCAATATTCGAGACACGCATACAAGTACATCCCAATGCAATCGCAACTGAATACGCCCCAGCAACTGCCATAGGCAGGAAGATTACCCAAACACCGACCCAAGCCATCGTTAATGCTTCTAGATGGAGTTTTCCAAGGTTTTGAGAATGAGACAGATGCACAAGAGAATAACCTGGCGCCAGAACATCGCCAAATCGAAAAGAACAGAGTGCAAGTAGTGAGCAACGAAAAGCGAAAAAGTCGTTAAAAGCCCCAACGGTGGCGTCTCCAACCACCTAATGCCCCAATTAGCAAGAGGTACATCAACGCCAGACGCTCTTAGAATTAGGCATGAGGCTACCTCTGGACGAAGAACCACTAGTGATCCGTACAGGCGCTCGCGCATTCAGGCTGGGTGGTGCCTCCCGAGGTCGATCGTCACCGACGTTCGCCAAGGTAGTGCGCCTTACAGCGCTCTTCATTATAGGCGTAACCCGTGGGCTGAGTACGCTGTTCTTCCAGTCAGCCTCGTGGACAGACTTGACCATGCGACGTGCCGCACCCGCGGAGAGAAGGGAGTTCTCGTTGGGCGGGCTGCCAATAGTCGCTGCTGTCGGACTACGACGACGATGCGCTCGGTTCACAGGTACAGATCCACCGTTCGTGGAAGAACGACGCTTGATTGCGTGTCCGATTTGTCGGGCGTCTGATGGCGTCCATTTCTCTCCCTCTGAACTGGAGTGGCCGCTGTCTCCTTCTCGCGCGGGGCCCGACGAGGCGTTCTCTACATTGCTCAAGGATGAAGTGCGAGCGTTGTTGTAGATGTCGCGGAGAGGCGACGCACCATCGGAATCCGAGCCATATGCGTTATTGGAACGAGATGTGGGGGATCCGTCCGAACGCTTAGACAGCGCGCCGACCGCAAAGCGCGATGAGCCCTTCAAATCCACAGAGGCTTTCGGTGGTGTAGGGATAGGCGAAGAGCCACCGCTTCCATCGTATTTCGGTATGGGGATGCCTGTCGAGTAAGTCGGTGCTGGCACTGGGGTTGACGAATGTGTTGGCGTTCCTGCTAGGTGTTCCGGCGTTTTCTGGAATTCGGCGAGGGTACCATTCTCAGTGTCATCCCTCCAACGGACTCCACGCTTCGTCTTTGACGGAGACTTCTTCTTCTTCATCGGCGAGAACTGGACGCTCTTCCTGGCTCCTGCCATCAACTTTCGGCGTGGTGATGACTTCATTGGCGATGATGTAAGATGCGGCGCGTCCGCCAGTGTTGGCAAAGCAATTGGTCGCATGGGAGACGGCTCCATGATGTTCACTGGCTTCCTCCTTTTTGGTGTGCCTCTGTGGCTTGGCTCGAAGAACTCCGTGACTGGCAGGCCACCGTCTGGCCGAATAACCTGCGAAGTCGCGTTTGTACAAGAATTCATAATCTTCGTAAGCAGCTTCCTCGCCGCTTCGACTGCTTGGGCTTCATCCATTTGGGTGATCTGGCTTAGGATTGTGACGGTCTCGATGTGCGCCTGTACCAACACCTGGACGATGGCAGCATCGCCGCCTTTTTCCATGTCCAACAGAGCATTGAGTTGTTCGCGATCCGCGTTGGCTTTGAGAAGCTCGTACTCTCTTGTCAGGTTGGCAGCATCATGGCCGTCAGCATTGCCGTCCACCTCCGCCAGACCCTTCAGTCCAACATGCAGCGCTGTGTCCATTTTGCTCGTCCATACGGTACGCTCCAATCGCCTATGGCAATGTTGTCGCGTTTGTTCGAGTTCTGCGGATATTCCGACTGCGGTATCTCTCATTGCTGTAACTTGAGCGGGCATCTCCTCGTTTTCGCGAACATCTTTCACGTTATCGAATGCTGCGATCCATGCCGAAATCATCGAGATGCGCTTCTCGGCCAGCTTCAAGGTCTTTGACATATTCAACCGATCCCGACGGTCGGGCTCAGAGTCCGCATAAGCCTGGCGCAAGCGTACCACAGCGTCTCGCAGGATGCCATCCTTCTTTTCGCTCTGCTTCTGGAACTTGACCAAGGCGCTTCCTTCGAAATCTTTCTGCTTCTTCATCAACTCCTCAATCAAGTGTCTCTGTTCATCGATCTTGACAAGGTAGTCCTTTACGTGGCGGTTGACATTGTATACGTTCTTGGTGACCTTGGTCTGGATGTTCTTCGCGCGATTGGCGTAACGCAGGGTGTTCTGCGTCTCATCGAAATGCGCGCTTGATGGACTAACACAGACTATCATGACAGTTTTACAGTTTCCACCGAGAGAGAACTTGAGCAATCGCGTGAGTTTTGAGTTGCGGTATGGGATGTGGTTTCGCTTTCGGGGATCACATAGGGCGTTGATACAGCTTCCCAGCGCGAGCAGGGATTTGTTGATGTTGGCACCCTCCGTCAGACGCTCTCCACGGTTCTTCGTAGCGCTCGCACGCTCACTACCTGCCAAGTCGATGATGCTGAGGGTAGCCATTGTGTGGGGTTCGTTGACCGAGGCATTGCGGTCCTTGGAGGACACGTTGATCTGAAGTACGGCGTGGGATCGAGAAGAGGTAGCGTTCGCTTCGGTAGGTGACATAGTTCGGTACTCGTTGCCGCGGACAATAATATCCATGACTTCTTGGACCTGTGGTTGTTAGACGCCTGTCGTGCAGTGTGTCCCTCCTACTTACGCTCTGTGGTCGGTGGCTGGAAAGACCAGCGACAGATACAGCCTGGTTGGCATCCTCGCGGAGCATCAGGGGTTGTTTACTGCCGCCCTCTACAAGCAAGTCGCGAATTGTCTCGTTGTAGATTTCCAGATAGGAGAGCGTGATCTCGGTGACCTTTTCATCTTGTATGTCCTGAATCTTCTCGAACAGTTCTTGCATAGTCAAAAAGATAATGCCGGGCTGCTGCGATGTTCCACTGTTGAAAGGTTAGTCCTCCTGCGAGTAACTAGCGGTGTACATGAACATACGTGATAGTATGTGTCTTTCCGCAACCTGTGGCGCCATAGGCAAAGACAGTCGCGTTGTATCCATCCAGCACACTGTCCAGCAGGGGCTTCGTCGTGGCTTCGTATACGTCGCCCTGGGAGGTAGTGTCGTCGAAGACGCGGTCGAATGCGAATGTCTGGTCCTTTGATCGCTTGCCCTGGGGTCCTATTGTTGATCGTCCAAACCGTTGAACAGCGTTATCTTCTGGTGGGTCGAAGATTCTGGTACAAGTCAGCCCTCATGCCTTGAAATGATACGTGACATCCCATACAGGCACTTCTCGTCCATGACCTTGATGACAGGCCGGATGCCCTTGTGGAGCTTCGGCGCTGGCAAGCCCGCCAGCGAACCGTCTCCGAGGAACAGCGTCTGGTCATCGTTCCTCGTGACTTGGGCTGCCTCTCGGATAGTGAAAGGGCGAACTCGTACGGTGACGGAGATGGAAGACGCGCCCGCGGCGGCCATGACTGCGCCCAAGAAATGAAAAAAGCAGGTCAATCGCACTGCGCAGCCTCCTTTGAAAGCGTGGGGAACAGCCGCGAGCGAGGGTTTGGTGTTGCGGGCTGGAGTGCTCAATGACGATGTTCCAGCCGGAACTTCTGTTATGGGACGCACGGCCGCTGGTAAACAGACAGGGATCTAAATGCGGCAACCACGACCCTGCCGCCAAGAATGCCCTCTTATCCCCACAATTTCCGACGTGGCTGCGACACCACACGCCACATCACCTCTGTCCTGCCAACGGGTGCACCCGACTGTCTTGTTACCATGAATGCGAACTTCGCCGACTGTGCGATCCCAGAAGAGTACCACCATTATCCTCCTTGTTTGGCAAGCCCAATCCGCTCCTTTCTCTTGTCGTTAGTTGCGTAAAGGGGCAAGTGGAGCATCACAGCATGTGGAGAGTGAAATGAGAGATGCGCATCTCATAAAAGGATTCAACTATCATGCAAACATCAAACATGCGTCCGGCATATCTTCGTAAATTCCATTTCCCAACTAACACCGCCTCCACCTCAAGTCCTCCACCCGCACCACCCATGGCCCGTTCACACTAATCCAGCTGATCCAATGTCTCGGCCTACATCAACCGCAATCAGTTTCTACTGCTTGGGTGGTGTGCACTTCTGCCACTGCACGTACACGACTTGGGTGAATTTGAGATCGGTAGAGTCAGTGGTGAGGAGGCCAGTGGCGCTGGCGTTGCTGCTGGTCAGGCGGACCTGCGAGTTGATGTTGAGCATGCCGTTGGTGCCGCATGGCGCCCATACAACCGAGGTGCTGTCCGCCTCGTCGTGCTTGAGGTAGTCACCGTTGGTTGGCCCGTCGAACTTATACTCAGTCGAGGTCTATTTCGGGTATCAGCATATCTGGTCCACTGGAACTTGAATAGATCTTACCTGAGCAGTGTCTCCGGAGAAGTAGTAGGTAGACTTGAGAGTGCCAGAGACGCCCTTCTGGATGGCAGAGTAGCCACGGTAGTCGGCGGACAGAATGGAGTACTGGAAGCCTCCTGGGTACTCAATGTCGACGTTCAGCTGGCAGTTCTTGCGCTGCTCAGTAACGGCGATGCCGGGGCCGATCGAGGCGATATACGCGTCGAAGATGAGGGTCATGACAGTCCTGTCACTGTTGATCTGGGAGCTCATGGTGCCTTGCGGGCAACCAGTTCCTCCATAGCTGACACCGCGAATCTTGACCTGTGTTGCGTGAGTTGATCGTTTCGGAAATTTCCATCTGAGCTTCTCGTACCTGACCGGGTGGTGGAGCATCACCAAGCTCGACATTGGGGAACGCAGGGGCTGCTGCCGCGAGGGGAAGGAGAGCAAGAAGCCACTTCATGTTGATAGTTTGGAAAGATGGTCTTCGGAGAAGGCTAGATGGAAAGCTGATGATGTGGTAGATGAGACCGAGAGTAGAAGCTGGATGAGGATCATGGAAGGGAATATGGACCAGGTTATATACCAGTCCCTCGGCGCCAGCTCTTTACCTTTGATTGTCTTAACCACTACCGCGGCAACACCATCTTGGGCGATATCTACAGTCCGACCACGATAACAGCTGCCAAGTGCCAATGGCACTATCGAGTACGATTGGACCGGCGGCCCGCTCGTGCTCATAGGTCCAGAATCGCAGAAGTTGCTCAGCTGAGTTCGTGTTGTCCGCTTAGCTGAAGTATTGTTCCGTGTGGATACATTCTGAGCCAGCCTCCAGGCTAAGTGTCGGTATCTGGGGTATGTGATAGCCTCGTTCCGCCGTGCATCTCGCTTCCAGCTGCAATCCTAACCCGAATCACAGCAACGGAGCATCTTCATTTGAGCTTTCCGGGCGCGAGGAGATTGAACCCAGAATCGTGGCGGCTCTTTGAATATCGTACGTCTGCGCCACCAGGTGGTGCAGTATGCGTGGAACTCTCGGCATCACCAATGCCAATGTCTTTTGGCGAAGTTTGCTGACATGCGAGTATCACGAATTCTTGTACAACTTGGTGGCGCTGTATGCAACCTACCCGGAAACCGAGTGCCGGCGGTACAGCTGCTGAAAGTAAAAGCACATCCGTCGCGTGGGCATATAGATTCTCTTAATAGCGAATACGAAACCCAGACTCGCGGTCTACGAGGTATACCGTGGCCATTTCATATCAGATGACGGCTAGGGTACCAAAGTCTTTTTGCACAAGCGAGTCGCTGTGGGTTTGAGCCGTTTCCTCGCATAGATTTTGGCCAGCCCAGTGGATGTAGATATGAAAGCGAGATGAGTCGAGCGTATTTGCCTAGGGTGCAGAACTCAGAATAGAAACGCCGGGCCTGGATGCTGGGTATAGGCAGTCCACGAAGCTGACCGAGAAGCAAACAAGCTCATCCGGATATTGTCTTTCATCTACAGATCCTGTATGTAATGCAGCAGCGGAACATGTGCGGAAGCGAAGACTGAAAATAGTTTCCCTGCCTGGAACGAGCGGCATAGTACTGCGAGGGTATCGTGGACGTCCAATTCAAAAGATCTGGAGAAGTGAGGAGTTCTTGGCGCGTAGATTAACCTTATATTAAAGCTTGTCGCTCCATCGGTGCTCGAGGCCCTGCCTTGATCAATTTTAGCGAACGCGATTTGCTGCCCTTGCAGATGTGAGGTCTAGAGATGCATCTAAAAATAATCTTAGAAGAGTTAGTCAAGTGCATGCATCAAACAGCTGTTCGACGCACGTGGTGACTCGGAGCGACGCCACGACCAAGGATGCATCGTATGAGCCTAGATTCAACTACTGCCGGTTCAGCAACGCGGGATGTAACCGGTACAAGGCTTTCAGGCGAAATAGATTGAGAATTAATTACGCGCATCGTGTCGGGGTGATTCGACCAAAGCTGTCAGCCGGACCTGACTTGGAGGGTAGGACTATGGGACTGTCAGTTGAGTGCGAAAACAGCAAGCTGACTGTGTATGCTTGATACACGACATTCGTAAAGCTGTACGTGCAACTATGAGCTGAGGGGGCGTCCGGTACTACAAGAGAGGGAACGAAGAGACCTCTCCATGACACTAACGCGAGTGTAATAGAATCCACGTCCCGGTCCCGCCGCTTATACGTCCCGAGTCACTCCAGCCTACTGCGCAGTGTTTTCCCGAAAGCGTAGGATGGGTCCGCTGGGACATAGCCGAAATTTCCAAGAGCGCGTCCTTCGAACAGGCAACGCTACAGCCATGGATCAAGTAGCAAAGAAGCAGGACATCATGCAAAGAGCAGTGCTGGAGGATTCGAGCCTGTGTTGATGCCGAAAGGCTGCAGCAACATCGGCCGCGACTTGTCCGGGTAAAGACACGTAGCGGGGCGGGCAGAAGGCGGCACGCGAATCTGGTCAGATAAAACAACACTGCGACGCATCAAAGAGAGCGTGCATTGCTGTTTAGGAAGTCCGTAATGTGTGGGAATATGTGATCAGGAAGATGCACGAGTCGGGCGTTCCTATCTTCGCAAAGGAGCGACCCCGCCGCCACCCATGTGGCTGAAGCGTGGCCGTGGACCCTTCGATTTGTCACGCCAAATGATGGCATCATCGCCGCGGTCCATTGCCCTTTTCCCAATCGAAGCGGCAAACTTGCGATACGTAATAAGTCACCAGCAAAGTAAACCTCTCCTTCTTACAACACATACATCACTACCACCAAACTGAAGCTCCTCACGCTCTTCATTTTGGTCATCACGTCTTACCTGTCCATGTCCTTTCTGACCAAATTCTTTCGCCCCTTCAGCAGTATGTCGAATGCGCCCGCGCAACCCATGAACGTGCCTTCGGGCGCGCAAACCGTCACTGTTGCTGCCGGATGTTTCTGGGGTGTCGAGCACATGTACCGGAGAGAGTACAAGGGAAAGGGCTTGTACGATGCGAGGGTTGGATACATCGGTGGTGACACAGACAACCCAGGGTACAGGGCGGTATGCAGCGGACGCACTGGTCGTACGTATTCCTCGCTTTTGTTGCGCCACGAGGCGTGACGTGATCTCTGGCCATTAGCTGACTATTAAACCAGACGCTGAAGCCCTACAAGTCGTCTACGACCCCGAAAAAGTAACCTACCGTTCCCTCCTCGAATTCTTCTACAAAATGCACGATCCCACCACCTCCAACCGCCAAGGTCCAGATGTTGGTAGCCAGTACCGATCCGCCATCTTTTACCACGATGCCGAGCAGGAGAAGATTGCGCGAGACGTTACCGACAAGGTGAACAAGCAGTGGTGGAAGGGAAGTGTCGCAACAGAGATCCTACCTGCAGGGAAATGGTGGGATGCGGAGCAGTACCACCAATTGTACTTGGACCACAACCCGGGTGGCTACGAGTGCCCGAGCCACTTCTTGAGGAGTTTCCCGCCGCTTTCTGACTAAGTTGGGATAAGATATAATGCTATATACGCGTCCAATCTAGAATGACATGTCTCACGGCGAAAGACACCTTGTTACATTTGTGGCGATATTTCTGAAGCCTTGATGAAAGTGATGAAACATTCGTACATTCAAGTTACCGAACATTTATATCTACGAAGGCGGCATAACCTCGAATGTCTGCGCAACCTCCTTCTCCCACGACAAGCGGTCCTTGCCAAAGATTTCCGCACCAGGCTTGAAGTTTTTGACACCTTCGTCCAACAATCCTGTCCTCAAGACAATGCTGTCGGGGCCGAGGGCCTCTTGCTCATGGTACACGTGCGAGGTGCAGTTCTTGCAGTAGAACTGGTGAATTGTTAGTAGATGCTCTACTACTGATATTAATGGATGTTGGTGGCATGACATACGCAATGAACGCTCTTTCCAGAGTCACCCTTGTATGTGTATTTGCCTAGATCATCGCCCTTGGTGATCTTGAGTGCTTTCTTGGGGATGATCTGATTGAGCGTGTACGTGGAGCCGGACAGCTCTTTGCAAGTATTGCAGTGGCTGATCGATTGTTAGTTCGATCTTGCAAAGTATTGT